AACGAGGTCTGGCAAACATGGAGGGTATGGCGAAACCTTTCAATTTGATTTTTAATTTTGCTGAAGGCCATTTTTGTGTTGATGGATTTACGAGAGGGTGAACATTGTCATGTTCAAGAATTACTCATTTTAACTTAAATTAACTTTCTCTATTTTCTCCTACTATCCGGTTAATCTATCCAAATGATGAATTATTTCTTTTTTTATTGTTTTGGATTCAGATTGTACAGTACATGTTTTTAAAAGTATTTCTGGTTCAAAAATTCACACTGAAAACCTATTACGCTGTTTGAAGCAAAGCATTTCCTACGAGGTCAAATGCTCATTGGTAGGTTTTCAAGAGCGATGTACAACCTCCGTAGAGAATACAAAATTCTTTTTCATAATATTAGACGTCCTTCCTGATCCTAATATAGCAGAGCTGGGAAAATTAAGAGTTATGATAGCATTAGTCACTAAAAATGAACCACAATAATAATAATAGTAATAACAATAATAATAATAATAATGGGGTGTGCGATAGACTTATCTCCGCCTGGTGCACCCTGGTAAACGTATTTTCATATGGCAAAAAGTCAATTAACGGGCAGTTGACTTCTTTGGGACATTTCATCTCAGGCGCGAACACTAGGCTTAAGGTGCGGCCGTGCAACCTCACACACGGATTGGTTGCGGATTGGTTGTACAGCCAATGACCAATAGAAAGCTTGCGTTCATTTTTCGAATTCCGCCATTTTGTGTGATTAGCTTGTCCTTTTGATCACAATTCGCTATCCTTATCTAGTAAATAAATGTTTGAGTGAAACGGCTCTTTCTTCTGGAAGACTCGGTAAATAGGAGAATCTATCACAGAGGTTTCTGAGATTTAAGTCAAGGCTTTACGAAGGTAACAATCCGCTACACTTCTCACTTCTAACTACAATGACCCCACTCTATGCTATATTCGTCCACTTCTACAGAACTCATCCAACTTTTCCTCTGCCTTTGTGTCTGCCTGTCTGTCTCTTTTACATATGGAAATCATTCTTCTGTTCCCTCTCTTGAATGTTTCTCACTTGGTCTGTTCCTCCACTCTGTGAAGTCCAATGTCAACCAAAGGCTCAATGATAACTATCATAAAGCCTGCCATTTGATATCAATAAATTTGTCCGTAACTCTCTCGGTCCCAAGGCAAGTAGCGCAGTGTTTTTATTCTATTCTCAACTGAATGACTCATAAGTGACTAAAGTAGTATCCCACTATTTTGTCAAACATGAATAACCTAATGGCAGTGAAGGTTACGCAAGTAAGTGTAATCAGGGAAAGATTGGTCTACCAGTAGACAAATTATTAATCATTACTTTGCTAAAATGAATGCATAACAAGTTTGGTGTGTAATTGTCTCGTTATATTGTAAAAGTTGTGGATCAACAGTACTATCATGGCGTAAAACATGATCGTTTTGACTAAGGTTAAGTGGTAAGACACGGAAAACGATTGCATGGTTCAATGGGGAGGTGGGGAGGTGGGGAGGGGGGAGGGGTGGGAAGAAACCGAGAGTATTAGAAGTAATTTGAGTTTTAATATATCATATCATTTTTTCGACATAATGAGTTTAATGCATAGGTGTTGTGATCAAATGCTACAAATGTAGAATTTTAATTAATGTGACCCAGACATTTTCGCTTTGCACTCTTTACATCGAATGTACCATTGTCTTTAGAAATTAACGCATACATGAGATTAAGATTCAGTTGTTGGCCTATTTACCAAAAATTATTCTTAATTAAGCACCCTGGGCAACGTTTACTCATACGACAAAAAGTCTATAAATCGGTAGTTGACTTCTCACTTCAAACTGCCATGATCCCACCATATGTCGTATTCGGCTACTTCCACAGTTCTCACCTCACCCTTTTTAAACCTCCACCCTGGGAAAACACTCTTCCGTTCCCCCCACCCCCACCTCATCTCGACTTTCATTCACTTTGATGTTCCTTCCCCTCTGTGAGGCCTGAAGTCAACTAAAGGGCTAATGATAACCATCAAAATACCTGCCATTTGATAGAAATAAATAAATTTTGAATTAAACATTAAGTTTCAAATAGGAAAGTTGAGGTGGGACAAATTTTCACCCGACAAGCCCTACAGATACTGATTGCAATTAGTTTTCATTTCGAATAAAAGGGCTAATTTGAGATAAGGAAAGCCAAGTGAATGCATTTTTTAAATGTAATAAATAAACGAGACATTTCTTCGAATTTGCATTTTTTTATTGGGAAGGGTTGAAGTTGTCCTTCCCATGCACCTGACGCCACTTCTTTAAGGTACTGAAATTACCCAATTATGTGGCTAAATGCATCTACACCACCCTTCAATCACTCGCATAGCAACATTCAAAGTCACTTATTTTACCTTCTCAACTTCTTTTCATGATTTCAATCGAGGTTAAGGAGACCAATAGAGGTGGATTCAACTCACAGGCGACATCTATCAACGGAGAATTCGCTTCCATCAAAATTCATCAAATGATCATTGATGACAGCAAAAGTAGTGAAATATTTAAATTAAATGGAATCGAGTTAAGGTTGCCTTTGGTTTTATAAAATACTTAAAATATTTGATTTCTAGATAAATAAGTCAATTATTAACAAAATTGTAAAAATTGAAAGGCATCATACACGAGCATCTTTCAACTAGAATATCAGCAGTCATATGCACTCCATCTAATGGTCACAAGGCAGTAGTCGTTTAGCATTCGTTCAACCAAATGTTCACAAATGATGATGAATATTAAGCGGTGTGAACAATAAGTGTATTGGTCTATAATCAAGTGAAGGGTGACATTTTACGAAAAAGTATATACAATTGTGCCCGAATATACTTTATTTTTGCAACAATTCAAACAATTAGTAAATTATAAAAGAATTAGGTAATTAACAAAATACAATAATCAAGAGTTCTTATCTTCAAGTCTAAAGTTGCCATTCTTTCGGCATCCCTTCAGCTTTCTTGCTTCCAAGGAGAGCTCACGTTTCAAAGGTGCACAGAAGAGACACTGTAGATCTTTACAACGTGCCCAATGCCTTATAAGTGCAAAGTACGCACTGCAATAGCTCTTGTTGCGGCAATTAGCAGCGCCACCACAGGATTTGACGTGTGACAGCCTTCTCTTCATCAACCAGCAATCCTCCACTCCACACTCTTCGTTGCATGCTCGGGAATGGAGCATTAGCAGAAGTATTGCCTGTTGGTCGCGAATCTCCTTGTCATTTGACAAGCATGCCAACGTCACAGTTGCTCTTGATTTCGCTTTCGGTGAAAACATTTTTCAATTACACAGAGTTGAGTCTGAAAAGTTGGACAACTTCCATTAATATTTGCAAGTAGACACAAACAAGAATATCTATTTGTGAAACACCTAGGTCCATGAAAACATGGTAGGGAGTAAACGAGTTCGAGGGGACTACGCTAGTGAGAAGGTGTTCTCGAGTGACATTCTACAGTCTGCTGGTTTCCAGCTACTACTATTACCCACTGTGCCACATTTAACTGCAAACATCTTGTGATGAGTTCACCGTGGTTATAACAAGGAAATGAGACGCGTTGTCGAGAGATCTCATTGGAAACAAGTAAAACTAAGCAAATGATCAAAACCAAACTCTAAATTGGGAGCAGAAGTGAAGTTGGAGCATAAAAGGCCACATGGGCATATCCACAAACACACGCACATACATACCCTATGATGACCATGATGCTGGAGTAGTGATGTGAACTTCAAATATTAGATGTGAATGTAAGTAAACAATAGAAATCTATAACTTTTAAGAATATAGAAATGTATAATACAGTCTATGGAAGAAGTAACAAATCAGTACTTACTCGACCACAGTGTGCTCACTTCTCACTCTGCTACAAAAGTTGTGCCAAAGCGTTCGACTTCATACGAACAAACAGCACTTAACTCAAATTTCACTCCAAAACAATTCCCAATCAAACTTTGCATTCACAATTATTGCCAATAATTAATGTCCCGAAATTTGTCAAATCTTTAATTTAAATGATTATCACTTCAGTGTTGTTGTCAAATATCTCCAACCAATCGTGTGTGAAATGTTAATGTTCAATTGAACGATTGATTTTTAGACAATAAGGAAAGCAAATTCTTCATTACAAAATTAATGGCAAAATTTGCACATTTGATTGAGTTGCACCAAATTGAAAAATTGGCAAATGATTCCATACCACACAATATATTGAAATAAATCAATCAGCTACACTTACTCCAACACCTGCACCGGATATACTTTTAATCATTAATTAATTTGTCAAGCCATCAAGTAACTAAATATTGAACTAATTAAATAAAGTGAAAGTCAACTCACGTTTCTACTCAAATATCAGGAATCACCACTGCAAAAGTGAATTTATGGCGTTTGAATTTGAAACATGTTGGTGATTAAATGGTCTTTCAAGTTCATTTCTACTACACTACAACTTGAGGTGGGCCAACAATTTTAAGATATGAATGAGCACCATCTGAAGTATTCTGGTGCCGATTGCTTGTCACGAGGACGGAGGCAAAAGTCGGCAAAATAATAACTGTTTTAACAAAAATAATTAAAAAAACGGAAAAAATAATTATTTTCTCTTAACAGCTAATTAAAAATGGAATAGTTAAAAATATTGTGCTCACATATCGATATCAAAGGCAAAGTTGTTTAAATTGACGAAATAGCTAAACGTGAAGGTAAGTGGTACAAGTATCACGCAGGCACTTCTGCGCTTGGCTACAATCTCAATTTGGTCGAACCTTCCAATGCGATGATTTTGTATTAATGTGTCACGAATGACTGTGTTTTCCTTCTTCTCCACTCGAATTTATCTCAAATAATTGATGCTTAGTACTATACGCTGCATTTGCAGCTAACAATTGAAGACCCCAGATGGCACCAAACAGGAGCAATAAGAGCAAAAACGTAAGTAACATGTCTCTTTGCATCTCATTTCCATTACACGTTCGGGTGCTCTTTTTTGCTATACAGTGCGAGCATATGCGGATGTTGGGCCAATTGAGCTGTAAGGTGGGAAAGTGGAAGGTGAGATCCCGAGAACTCAGCACCGTGAGTAGTTGCATTAATTCACTTGTGAGACAGCATTTGGCGTCAACAGTCAATTCACAATTCCACATGAAAATGTTCTAGTCACCTTCCAGGCCCATAGGGAATGCGAATTGCTGGATATTGTTCACACTCAATTTGAAGTGCACAAATGTCCCAGATGACCCCTGCAAATTGAGAGGCACAGCATTTAGACTCCAACTGGGATGCCAAAGTCTGGGCGCAAATTGCTAACGACTGCCACTACCAATCAGGCGCGCACCATCCATCAGTGTTGAGAAATTGCAATTGATCCACGTCTGGTGAAATATTGACAAGTAGTGGAGGATTAACTCGTTGTTTATTTACTCCACTACGCTGTCTGACATGTATTAATGCCAAGAGCAAATGCGCAAACAATTTGTGCCTGAGTGTTTTCTCATTTTAAATCTTGCCTTGTAGACCCGCTTGATACTTCTCACAATTTGACGAAGAAAACCAATCCAGTGAGTTCGTCCTAGGTTACTTGTCCAACCACTTGCCGTCTTAACAACCACCCACCCAACCACTCACCCACACCCCTCCCACATCCACATCTCCCACTCCCACCCTACATCCCTCCATCCCATACTCACTCCCTACCACTTTCCAACCTAACGACATCTACCTACCCACCTATCTCTCCACCTCTCTATTTCTCTTTATGTTTATTTCTAGTTTTCTTTAATGTCCTTGAGCTCCACTTGGAGTGTAGAAAACGACCAACCACCGATCTCCATCGTTGGAAGGAGTGAGTTAGCCAGCTGTCTTCCACTCCATAGCCCGTCCGCTTCACTTTCGAGTACCCACTTCCTATTTCATATTTTAGATCCCTCTTTCTATCGCCCAAGATAAGAAACATTCGTGGTCATTTTTACTTCATGTAAAGAGTAGACTGGAGGCTTTAAACATCCCAGTTCTAGCTGTCTGTCTGCCCGCACATTAACTTCTCTACTCCTCCACTCCTACATCTCTTCATATGTCTAATACATCCCATTGACTAGTTTACAACTTTGCTGGACTCCGGATGAACTGGGGAGTGATGTACAAAGAGGATTTCTTACCACGTCACACAAGATATCGCCAATATCGGACTCGTGAGGAATGTACTCACCACCCACCTGAATCATCTCCTGACCGAGCACTCGGCCACAATCACAGTCAGCAGAGGTCATCACCTGACAATTGCCAATCACATGGCCCATGCACTCCACTCGTCACTCACAAACATTCAACTAATAAATTATTTTCAAAATAAATGAGTAAAACAATAAATAAATGAGTAAAAACAATAAGTAAGTAAGTAAATAAATAAATACATCAATAAATATACCTTTCATTTGGGCGAAGCCGAGAAGCAATTGCATTCATTTGCAATGCACAGTCGAAATTGGTGAACTCAGTTGTGGTGAGTTTCTGCAGGTCTAGTCTGTAGTTGGTGAACTAGCTTGGTGTGGACTGTCATTGTTGTGGATTTAGATGCGTCATCTGAAGGGGAGAAAAGTTCAAGTCTCCCCATGCAACCGAAAGTGTCTTGAACATTGCAATGCCTCCGATGCTAAGACTTCCTTCATAAGTGTAGTGCTGGGTTCAGGTAGAAGACTGATTGCTTCTGCCTAAATCTTCAAACACAGTATACAACTCGTGGAGGTGTAGGCTGTTGTGCAATCGCCCATCTTTTGTCTGTTCACACGCGACAGCATTGGCCCCCTTCGCATCGCAATCCTTGACGCCGTCCTCTTCCACAGCCTCACTCTGAGACACAAAGACCGATTCCCCTCCCCCCCTCCCCAGGTCCGACGACATTCATCAACGGGAAGACCAGTGAAGTGCTGAATCGGCCGAGCTTCCAGCGAAGAGTCTATGCTCAGCCCACACTCCCCATGTAGCTGTAGCTTCGCAGTGGTGTTCAAGGCACTGGTTCATTCATCAGTAGATGATGGGTCTTCATGAGGATGCATTTGGACAAGATTTGAGTAGATAATTTAATGGTGATGCTCTGTCATGCTTTCTACTTGGCACAACCACCGCACACCATACTGTCATGGCTTTGAGAACCATCACATCTGAGCTTAATTTATAACACTTTGATTTCCCAACATGCTGGTGATTAAATGTTGCAACAAATTTCATTTTGATTACTTGTCACCATGAGAGGGAGCGGCAATTTCGACATTCGAATTTATATTGTCTGACACATCTTTGGTACTGATGGTGCAAATAGGCAATGCCTTAGGAATTGCTATACTAGCCAGTTCAAATTACCTGGTCGAGAAATTTGTAGGGTACACACTTTTCTGCAATATCAAATTGATCGTATCTTCCAATGTTGTGCTTTTGCATTAAAACATTACGAATGCTTGTATTTTATTTGTAGGTG